CCGAAGAGCACGCTCTGGGAACGAGAGTGAGGCGCAGTCCCCCGGATGGCAGCCTTCGCCGGTGTCTGCTCGCTGTGTGGCGCACCCGAGTACAAGAGCACCGGACCTGGGTTCAAAGCTCAGGCCCACTGGAGCGGCTCGGTGACTTTAGACAAACTGCTCAACCTCTCTGAGCTGTAATGTTTCTCACTGTAAGGCAGCGGCCCTAGCACTTACCCTTCAGAGCTGACGGCCGTCTTACACAACACAGTGTGTAAAGTGTGAAGCACAGAGAGCCCTTGCGCACATAACAGCCTGGCGAACAACGGCTCTAATGATCGCCTCGGCTTTCCCGGCCTTCGTGCCGGCAGCATGAGGATCCAATCAGGAGGTCGGGGTGCACTCTAACGGGAGTGATGACCAGAGTCCCCAGGACCTGGTGAAGACCAAACCATGGCCACCTCAGGTCCGTCGGACAGGAGGCAACCCAGCGAATGAGACAGAGACCCAGTTCTGAGGGCCACAGCAGGCCTGTGCTGTGTCTGAGAGACTATCTAAAAACAAAACCTCCAGTCTTCAGTCCCAAGGGGCGCGGCACTGCCCCAGCAGCTGGTCTCCAGTGACACGTGTCATGGGCTACAAAATGCCCACAAGCCACTACCCCCACGTTTGAATTGTATTTTGTGATTATGAAACTCATAGAATCATGGCAAAAGAGTAAAAACGTACAAGAACACAAAACTTGTTTGCCTATGTTCCCGGCAACCAGATACAATCGCTAGTATTTTTAGGCCTCTGTTTCCATTTTTGAGACACCTGGGATCACCTCACACATGAGTTCATCACCAGCTCGCTCGTGTCCGGGTGTCCCTGTGCGTGCTAGAGTGAACCGATGCCAGCACAGGTCTGCACCCCAATTCACTGACCTGTCCTCCTCCTCCTCAGGGCCGGGTGGGTTGTTTTTCTTTGCTACAATAACCCAGGACTGAGAGGTTCGTAAACACCCTCACACAACTGTCCAGTTGCTTCCTTAGAAGTGGGACTGATCGGTCAGGGAGTGTACAATCCCTAAATGCCCGAGGAAACAAAGAACAACCAGCCTTGCTGAGATGGGAGGATGAAGGAGAAATTTCTGTAACAGGACGGCAGTGTCTTGTCTACTGGCCTTCAGCATCACCCCCACACACACCTACCAGGAAGCCTGTCCTGTTCCCTGATAAGAACCACCAACTCCTTCTGTGAAAGTCAGGTCAAAGGAGGCACCACTAAGGATTGTGTGTGGAAGCCAGCCGTGTGCAGGAGCAGAAGTGCCTTCGAGAGCTCCGCGCCCTCCTGCAGGCTCCTCAGGCTGTCCCTGGGCCCGCTGGGGCGGAGGGCTGCACGCAACAAGCTCGGATGGCCTGAGGAGCCCCGGGAGGGGCCACAGCAGTCACAAAGCCACGCTGCAGAAGACCCTACAGCAGAACAAAAGACAAATGAAGAAACACTGCTGCTCGCCAGGTCCAGCGTTCGCTCGCCCTGGGAATCTTTCTGGCCCTGGTTACCACAGAGCTCCAGGAGATCGTCTCTGGGTCTGGTATTTATGTCTCCCTTCCCACTACAGTGTGTTGTTTTCTGTTTTCATTAATTTTTTAAAAATGTGTTATTCAGTAATTGCCTACCCTCTGCTAAACAGTCCTTGGAGCCTGCATTATTTCATACTCAGTTCAAGTGAAAGGTCCACATTTTCTTTGTATTCTAAAATGTGTTTGGCATCACCCAACTACCTGGAATATGGAGAGTTCCTGGTTTATCCTCCTGGTGTAAAGGAGCTGCTCAATTTTTTTATTTTTTTGTACCGGGGATGGAACTTAGGACCTTCACTTACCAGGCAGGCATGGCGCCACTGAGATACATCCCGGGCCAAGAGTTGCTCAATTAATGCTCTGTGGCCAAATTAAAAAACGCATGCATGAATGAACACACAAGGTCGTAGGTGCCTTTCTAAACCCACGAAGTTTCTATTACATCACACTCTTCTTCAGAGGTCTTTGAAATACGCTATCTCACATGCTTTTTCTGAGAATTATACACCAAGAATGGGAAATGAGCACAACGCTCCCATCTGTACAGGGCAGTTCGCAACAGCCCGAGTGCCTGCCCTGCCCTGCTGGGCTTCCCACAGTGTGGCAACTGCAGCCACAGCCAGGGCAGCGGGGACCGGTGGCTGGGCTGGGTCCCAAGCAGGCGGGAGAGCTGTACTCAGAGGCAAGGTATCATCCTGGAACAGATATCTAATTGGGCATCCTGTGACTCTGTCTCATCTGGACAGGACTAGCTGAGTGAAGACCTGAGGCTGACCTCCCTCACCGCCAGAACAGACCTAGAAGGCACTGACACAGGAAGTCAAGTCCGGAGAACCCAGAAGCCAGGGAGGCTGGGGGGTGACTGCTGCCCCACGCTCAGCTGCAGCAGCGGCTCTCACATCTAGTTGAACACCTGAGTCACTCGGAGCACTTACTGAAATCTGACTCTGCTCCAGCTCACTTCCTGCTAGATGCTTTGTTCGTTTTTGAAGAACCTGCATTGTGTGAGACTTCCAGGGTTCTGCAGAGATTTCCTGGAGGTTACCAACCATGGCTCCTGCTTGGATGGGAAAACCTCGGTGCCAAATGGACCCTGCTGGGAGGCAGCCCTTTTTCCCTGGGAGGGGGACGACTCCCACCCCCAATCTGTAGTCACTGCCTGCGTTCCAAGATTCCATGCCCTGCTGCTCTGTCCCTCCAATGGTGCTTCAAATCGGGACATATTCCAGAACTCTTTCCAACTGTTCTGAATCTCCTGTACCTAAATTCAAACAGGGGGTATAGAAGCAGCTGGAAGAGAGAACCCAGAGCAGCAGAGTCCAGCAGGAACCTCTGGAAGAGCCAACCCAACTTCCAGGCCCCTGGCTCGCCACGCAGGGGGAGGGGAGACACACCACACGGCTCTGCAGCCAGCGACAATCAGAAGGAAAGGTAAAAACTGGCACTTCACAAGTGTCTGTGGGAAAGAAGGCACCTTCCATCATCCTCAATATTTACCCTTTGAGAATGCTCTTCCTAGTCTTTTTAATAGGATATGACAAGGACTTGTCCTGCGCCCAGAACTGAGTATCTACTAACTTGGCAATGCGCTTAACAAACTGATTGCTGAGTATTTTCTTGAAGGCCACTGTCGAGACGCTCCCCACTCCACGCGCTTGGGCACACTTTAGATAGGTCATGGAGTAAAACAGGCGTGGGCTCCCGTGGATATGCCATGGGGCTTCAGGCAGGGCACTGTCCCTGTGTGTCTCAGCTTCAGCTTGTTCATAGGTGCCAAGGAGGCAGGAATGGGGCTCATTCTATAAGTAGGCACCAAAGATCAAGTGGAACCGTGTAGGGAATACACCTCGCACAACGCCAATACAGAATGAGAAAACAATGCATCGGTTTTTAAGATGTTGGTTTGTAGCCACTCTGGGGCAGAAGAATGCCACCAAACATCACTCCTTGATGACTACCAGTGCAGACAGTATTTCAGGGTGCTGTGAATATATACTAACTACAGAGAAAGGGAAGAACCACATATTTCCTTTCTAGCTCATGCTACACACAGACTCATATTTAAAATATGCTTTTGCTGGTACAAATGTGGGAAGTGGAAAACAAAGTGTCGATGGTCTTAATAGCACGGCCAAAATTCGTGACAAAGGACTTGCTTGTGAGGTTTGCTGGTGGCAAAGTGGGCACCACGAGAGCACCTGGAACTGGTCATCTGAACACAGCTCCCACCCCACACTGGCCGTCGGTCTCCTGCCAGGACCCCACTCCTTCCCATCCAGCCCTGGTGGTAAGGGCACAAGGAAGCCCACAGACACGTGGTGCCCTGCCCTTAAACCTGGCTACTTCGCTGTTGTCTTCTATTAAATGGTGTCCTTCAGAAGTAACACTTCCAAGAGAGGAGAAGAGAAGCACCCGATGCTGTCACAATGGAACACTGGATGCAGACAGACGACGAAACAAGTGATCATTTGAGAAGCCTCTGAGGAACTCTATTGGTCTTGAATTTGGGTCTGGTTTGGAGGTACCATAAAGACCCCAAGAAACTATTTAATTTGTTGAAGCAATTTTAAAAATAAAATTAAAAATAAAGAATAGGGAGACAAGACATGGTTCTAGAGATATGAAGTCCACACATTTTTATGAAAAGCATTTTAACAAACACGTTAAAACACGGGCCCAACTGAGGGATGATTTCTAATGGTAACTGTCATTAAGTAGAATGCAATCAGACAGGGAAGACAGTGATGGGTTGAGAAATGCAGACAAGCACAAGCTCTCCTACGCATCTGACGCGTCCACTGATACGTGTCCCGTCCCATCAGTGGCCCGACATGTTGGCGCAAGCCTGGCTGAGTGGACAGTCAGCAAAATCGTGGAAGGAATCCCACAGTGGGCACCTAAGAGTGTGATTGAACCTAAACTAACAGAGCAATGCACAGGTCCATTTCTGTATCTCTCGAAACCACAGAATATTAGCAAGACTAAAATTGGAGGGAGAAATTCTGACAAACACATAAGTTCTTTTCTGTTCCATTTGTAAGACTTTGTAATTCTACGTGGTAAAAAAAATCCACAAAAACAAATGAATAGAAGACACAAGCAAAATGCCAGCAATTTCTGATTATATATACTGTTATCACAGCCTCAAGAAATTATCAACGCTTAGTCCTAAAACAAGCAACTTCAGCAGGCGTGCGTCCCACAGGCACCAGAGTCGCCACTTTCTGCACGCACATCCCGACGCGGTACATTCTTAGCTGTGCAGCCTTCCACAAGCCACTCATGCCTTTGCAGTTTCTGCATCTGCACAGGGCATGCACCTACCTCACAGCAGGACTGGACAAAGGCAACGGCGAGGCAGTGCTCTCTCGGCAGACTGCGAAAGCACTACCTCCCGGCAGCATGGCAATGAACGCATCTGACAGCTGGGACCTCTGCTTCACCAGAAGTACATACCTGAGGTGCCACAGGCATGCTTTCCTGCTGAGGGCTCCTGCTGAGGGATGCTGCGCCTATAAATAATGTGGGGTTTGTTTTGCTCCTCTTTCTTCTCTTGTTCATCCATGGACAATAGTGGTTCAATAAAATAATCTCCATCATGGGACTGGAATGTGCCCAGCTGCAAATAAAAAGAGAGGAGAAGTTGATTTAACATAAGCCAGCCAATGGGAGGAAAAAAAGCAATGGTGTGATCCCAAATAGAGACAGGGCCATCTTATCCAATCGCTCTCCCAAGGGGCCGCTTAAGTGGAAGATGCTGCGACACACACAGACCGGTGGTTTGTTTCACTCTAGCTTATTGTGCCTGCTGTTCAGGGCTGGTGCTTCCTTGGCATTCAAGTTCCAATCACATTATTCCTACAGGCTGCTGGAGGAGAGCATTTCTGAGCCTTAAGGATGCCTGGAAAGCTAGGGACACGTCTGGGCCCCAGAAGAAGCAGCTGGCTGACTGAAGCTTCTCATGCGTTCAACTTTAGGAAGCAGTTTTGCCACCGTGTGCTCAGGTGGCACCACCTGGAACACTGGCGTACCCGGGAGGGTGTGCAGGGTGTCAGGGCCAAAGGAACCTCACTCCTGATCCCAGCACCACACCTTCCCTCCCATCTGCCCCAAGACTCAGCATTTTATCTGTCAGTTGGAGATAAAGATGCTTTCTGTAAAAGCTAATCACACAAATTAAATGTGATGGCCCAAATAAAGTGCTTGGCCAACTGCCTGATACCTCAAGGGTACTCAGAACACGTGAGCAGTTGCTGGTGTTGACCTCTCGCCCCAGGTTCCTGCTCGCTTAATCCAACATGCTAAGCACTTGAAAAAGGTCACTTTTTCTCCTCCCCTCCCCACAGAGCTACTTAGAAATGATCAGTGATGCCTCTGGTTTAAACCACCCAGACCAAGAATGATGAATACACAGAGAAGTACTCCACCACCCAGTCAGTGGTGTTTACAGAAGAAACTGCTCACTCCGGCCTCCTCCTCCACTCTCCTGTTCCACACGCTGGAAAGCATCAGAAGCCCCCTGCCCTGCCCTGGGCACACAAAAAATGACGGTCCTCAAACCTCTGTGGCACCAGTGAAATCCAGAGCTCGTGAGAGTTAAGTAATTGTGTACTGCTAAAATCCAATCTCCTGCACATGACCTCTTGGGTAGAACCTGGGAGTCATACTTTTAATGAACTCCCAGGAATTCTTTTTCTCAATAAACTATGAGAAACACTAAGCTAAGACACTGGTTCTCAAATCCAAGCAGCATCAAAAGTGCCTGGGGAGTTTTTTTTTTTTTAATTAGATTTACAGATTCAGAATTCCTGGAGGTGAGGACCAGAATCTGGATTTTAAAAGTAGTTCTGTACATAATCGAGGAAGCACTGGTTTAAAGAAAAGAAAACATAAAACAAAAAATAACAACAAAAAAACAGCCCTCAGGTGGTCCAAGCAAGAAGCAGAGTGGCTGGCGAGCAGAGAAGCAGCTATGGGACTCATCTGTCGCCTACCCAGACACCTGTCTGCCTCAGTATGAAGCTCTGCTGTCCTCCAAGCACAGACCAGGGAGCATAACAGGGCAAGGGACCCCAGGATTGAGAAATTACCAGGACTGCTTCGGGAAGACCAGCCACCTGCAATTGGTGGGCAGAAAGCTAGTGCAGAGTTCAGGGACTGAGGATTCTAACTTTAGTCCAGTGGACTCGGCCCGAGGCGGGTGAGCAGTGCAACATGAACCTCAGGAGCCATGCCAAGTGTTTACCGTTGCTCACTGGGCGAGGGTGCTACTGAAGTGCTGAACAGGGCGGCAAGGTGCCCCCTGTGCCTGTCACTAACCAGGCACTGCTGCATGGCAGGCACTGAGTGGACTGGGGAAGCCTCCTCGGGGAGAGCGGGCAGGGCCGGGGCAGGGTGTTCAGAGGAGGGGAGCAGCACATACATCCGAGACAGAATTCGGCAAAACTGATGACCAGCCGGTGTGGGGCAGGGGATGGATTATAACAGGGAAGGAAAGATTTCTCGGAGGAATTAGGGGGCAAAGTGTTGGAAATATTATGAAGCGGCAGCTGCAGAAATGGTAAGAAGTTTTGGGAGGAAAGAAAACTCCCAGAAGGAAGACAAAGGGGCAGAGGTCAGCCGGCTCGCTTAATTTAAAGGGATACGCAGGCCCTTTTCCCCAAAAGAGGCAGGCCGCAGATTAAACGCAGCGGAGCATCTCTGCTCACTCCGTCTTTTCTGAAGCCTAGTCTTGGTTCCCAAAGAGACCACGTGTGCGCTACCACCTAAAACTACCAATGGAGATGAAGGTTCTGAGCAGCAAAATATTTATCCAACTGCTGGGGCCACTGGGGCGGCGGCGGGGAGAGTGCAGAGGTGGGTGCCGCTGTGGACAAACTTCACGCGCACATGCAGCCCTCAGGCGTCCTGGAATTGCGGGGTGCGTCCCTTCTCTGGAGCCCCACACCGACACCTGCCCGCTCGGCCTCAGTCTCACAACCGAAGGGTTCCCGCGTCGGACCCAGGCCTTGGGGCTGGGTGACTCGCCAAGCACCCCCTCCCCTCGCCAAACGCGCTGCGGGCTGGGCGGCTCGGCGTCGGTCGGCGGGGGCTGCAGGTGCCTCCCCCATCAGGCGAGGCCGCCCACGCCGGCTTTAGGCCTCGCCCCGCCCGAGCTCCGGACCCGGACCGAAGACCGCGCTCCGCCGCGCACCTCGGGGCCGCGAGGGTGGGGTGAGTACCCTAACGCCACCTAGGGGAGGCGGAGGCGGGCCGGGGGCCCAGAGCGGGCCGCCTGCCTGAGAGTTCCTGCGTCACGCGCGGGGGACGCGCCGCCCGGGGGGTCACGGGGCACCCCGTGGGGCAGACCCTTACTGCGGGTCCCCAGAGGGAGGCCAGGGGCTGCCCCACTGGGCCTGGCGGCGGGCGGGCGGGCGGGGAGGCCGGGAACCGGGGTCGCGGACCCTCCTGGGATCCCAGGCTCAGCGCGTCTTTGGGCGCCCCGCCCACGGACCCTAAGGAACCGCGCTCCGTACAGCGCTCTGCCGAGTCCCAGGAGCGGCGCCGGGTCCCGGGAAAGCCGAGGCCGCGCCCGGGCGGCCCCCAGCTTCTCCCGCTCTCGCAGCGTCCCAGGCCACCCCGCCAGCAGGGTGCAGAGTCGCGCTGCGCCGCGCCCCTCTGCGCCTCCCAGGGTCGCAGCCGAGGCCGGCCCCTCCCCTCCCCGGCCCCGCCCCGGCCCCGCCCCTGAGCCCTGGGCCCGCCCTTCCGTCCAGGACGACGGCCGCCTCCCGGCCAATCCAGCGCCGCCCGGAGCCCTCGCGCCCACCGCAGATAAAAGGCCCGAGGCCGCCAGGCCCGCAGGCCCCGCCCCGTGTCCAAACACGTGCGAGGCGCTCTCGCGGCCGGCGGGGCTGTCAGCCTCGGCCCACTCGGGCGCGCCCTGCGCTCCGAGCTCCGCTCCGGCCGGCCCAGCCGCTGCAGCTGCGCGAAACCGCGGCGGGGGCAACTTTCTCTCCTCCAGGCCCCCGCGTCCCTCGGGCTGCGCACAGCCGCGCCGACTGCGGCCCCAAAGGCTCCAAAGCCTCCGGCGCCCCTCCGGGGTGAACGCCGCCTCGGCGTCACCCTCCGTCCCATCCGGGGACCACGGGGGCCAACACTTCGGGCCCAGCGCGCCTCGGCGCTGCCATCTCCAGGCTGGAGAGCGCCCGCGCCCACTTACCATTCCCGAGCAGAGGCTGAGCACGGCCGTGTGCGCCGTCTCGGCGTTGACGTGGCCAGTGTAGAAACAGTGTTGGAGCTCCGTTTCCTCCTCGGAATAAAACTTAGTCTGGTTCACCCCCGGCGCCCCGAGGAGAGTGACAGTGAACAGTGGAGCGATAAATCCGGCCTGGGCGGTGAGGTTAAACAGAAAGTGTTGGCCGAAGGCGGAGAGGCGGTAATGCTCCTGCGAGGAGGTAGAGGAGGACGTGGAGGCAGAGGGGGAGGCGGAGGCAGGCCGGGGCTCAGTGGCCGGGGCCGGGGCCGGGGCCGCGCTCCGCCGCCTTCTTCGGAAGTGCACGTCCGTGGGAAGAGGTTCTCCGCCCGCGCCCACTCGCACGGGAGACGCGATTTCATACTCGCTCAGGGTCTCCAGTAGTTTGGCTGCAGAGAGATGCAAAGATGCATGAGCCCGTGGTGCCGTTCCCGCAATTTTCAACTCGGCGGGGACAGGGCTCGGTCCGGACTTATTTCCTGCCGCCGCAGGGGGTCCTTTAACCGGTAATCAGTGGCTAAACATTTGCTGAGCACCTACTGTACAACGCAAGTCAGAAACTGGCAGGCACTGAGGGGACTTTGGGAAGCCAGACAACGAGCAAGTCAGGGTACAGAAGAAAACTTTAGATCCCGACAAGTACTCTGAGTAAAGCATGCGCTATCTGGAGAGCCCAGCTACTAAGTAACTTTCACTCGGGGCAGGGGTGGGCTAGGCCGCAGTAAAGGGGAGGGGCGCCTGCATTTGTTGCCAGTGTCTCACGGACTGTGGCTGGGAACGGCCGGGAGGAGAGCGGCTTTCCAAGAAGAGCAGAGCCCGGGCTGCAGGGCGCCCCGCGGGGCCGAGCTCGGGGCGAGGGTCCCAGGCCCGGCCTTGTTACCTTGCCTCGGGTGCAGCCTGTCCTTGCGCACGGCGGCCGCGGCGTCCAGGCTCCGCATCCCGGCCGGGCCCCGCACCACAAGCGCTAGCAGTGCGACCCAGGGTACCAACTGCATGGTGCTCCCCACCCTGCGGCCCCGCTGCCCTTCTGCCCGCCCCGCAGAGCGCGGGCTGGAGAGCGCCGGCCGCCGACGTTCCACTTAGGAGTCGCTGAGGTCTCGCGCCGAGGGTCCCGTCTGCGCCCGGCTGAGCAACGCTGCCGCCTGCCGAGAGCTGGGCGGCTCGGGCCGCGGGAGGAGCCGGAGGAGCGGGACTGGGGCTCGGCCGCCCGGCCGCATACTGCCCGAGCGGGCGGGGAAGGCGCGAACCTGCGCTCCGAGGCGCCGGGCGCCCTGTGCCGCCGGGGAAGCGCGGCGGCCTCTTGAATGGGGGCTCGGGGGCGGGGGCGCGGGCCTGGCCGCTGGAGCCTGGGGCCGCCCCCGGGAGGAGGGCCGGGGAGGGGACAGCTGCGGGCCGCCCCTCCCAGCGCCCGCCCGCCCGAGGCCAGCCGCCGGCCGCTGGGGCCGCGCCTCCTCCCGCGAGGCTGAGCTGAGGGTCGCTGCGGTGCGGGCGGCAGGGAGACCGGGAGACCGCAGGCGCCCCCCCCCCCGCCTCTCCGCCCTGCGGCCTCTCCGCCCGCGCCTGCCCGCTGTGACCGGATGCGGCACCTGAGCCCCGCTCCGCCGACCCGCCCACCCCGAGTCTCCAGACCGAGCGCTGATCTGGGCTCGGCTTCGGGCTCCGCGGAAGTTGGCGGGGTTTCCCAGCAGCGCTTTCCCCGGCCCCTTTGCGAAGGGGCCCGCGGTTTCTCTAGGTCGCGGGCGCGAAAGGCTAAGAACCGGCCTGCGGGCGGGCAGTCCCGGCCCTGCCGGCCCCAGTCATTTCCGCTGGTGGCGCGGACCCCCGCTGCCCGCCCCGCGGCACGCGCGTTTCCGGGGGCCGGGAGGGGAGCAGCGCTGTCTGCAGGAGCCCTTCGGTCTCGGTGACAGATGTGAGGGAAAGGCTTGCCCCGGGCTCCAGGCCAGGTCTCTTGCTCGGTACTGCCCCGCTCAGCACCGAAAACACGGGCGCCAGAAAGCAGACGCGGGGAAAGCCGTCCTGGAAGCTGAAGCGCGTGCCTTTCTCTGGGCGGGGGCCAGCCACTTGGAAGCCTGGGACCCCTAAAGCCGTAGGCCCAGGTTGGCCAGTTAGCCGCCTGCGCCGGCGCTGTGACCCGGGTTCCCGACGGAGGCACCTGAAGGCGCGGGCGGGGACAGGCACAGCGCGGGGTGACCAGGCGGGTGTCGGGGTTGGGTTGGTGCCGGTACCGGGGACCGAACCCAGGACGCCCTGCCACGGAGCCACAGCCCTCGCTTCTCCCCCTTAAAAACTTCAGAGGCAGGGTATGGCTAAGTTGTCCGGGGAAGAACTCTAAGCATTTAAACCTTGAACCTTCAGAACAGTTCACTCAAGTGCATTTCTTCTAATACGCCACTCTCTAATACTTACTCTATGCGTAAAATCCTCACAATCCCAGATACAGTGTCTGGGAGTTGCCGAGAGCTTCACGTGGAACAAAAAAAGATCACGAAGTCAAGGTGTGAGCTGATTCCAGGGGAAAATGTTGAAGTACTGCCACTTAAATTATTCAGAAACATAGGACTTTTAAGTATTTTCCCTGAGACGATTTTCCTCTCCTCCCATTCAAACCCCTCTGATAAGCAGAAGCTAGCAGTATAGAAATGTCTTATGTGTGGGGCAATTTTTCCTGTGTGAACTCTACTTTCTTTCCAAAGCATTGCTATAAGGATGGAGTTTGAGGTTTTTAAAAAGTGGCTTCAGATACAACACAGTCATTTCCAGGAGGCCTCGGGGCAGGCGGTCCTGGGCCCTCCCCAGGCGGTGGAATCCTGCGCAAGTCTCTTTATCGTGAACGATTTCGCACATCCTTTGCTCCCGGCATTACAGTATTAGCTTCCCTTCTCATTTACCTCTGTAAACAAGCCGAGCTTCGTGATTATTATATAGGATGAGTATCTAAGCAGAAGTGTTTCTGGTTTTAGGGGATTTGGTCTGCGAGAGTGTGACAAATGACTTCTGGAGAATTGTCCCAGTTTCCTCGCCTATGTGTAGTTTTTCTTTGACTAACTTCTTTTTCTAATGCTTTTTGATAATCATCATCTCAGATATTCACTGATATTTCACAGTCTTCCCCTCAGCACCTAGTTAGTGCTCAAGAAATACCTGCTGAATGAATTTCCCATCACGGGATGAGACCCTGCAACGTCGGTTCCCGTATACAAACAGTCAGTTTGGGAGGTCAGGCCTACAGGTAGGTGCACAAAACTACCCGAATCCAAGAGGGAAGAGGGAAGGGCCCCTCACCAATCTGATCTTGAAGACGCAGTTTCGAGGTCACTTGGAGCTAACCAAGGGAGAGACTTTGGCACATCCTGTTCACCTGGGGCTGGACCGGAAGTGAGTGCTGTGGCGGGTTGAGGTGGAAGTCTTGTCGGCTGACTTCTTGAAAACGGGGTCTCAGAGGAGGGAAGTGTTGACTGACACTTGAGTCACTGATGAAAGTCGATGGAAATGACGCAGTCACTGCTTCAGGTGCCGGCCGCCGGCCGGGAAGGGGAGCTGAAGTAAAGCCAGCTTTCCACAGAAAGGGAAACCCCACCCCCAAGTGATAGGGAGGGACCAGGAGCGAGAAGGAACGGAATGGCTTCCTGAGTGGTGAGCAGCAGCTGGTGCTGGGTGGCGCTGAGCGGCTGAGCTCTGTGACCTCGGCACCAATTTCTTCTTTGCAGGATGGGAGTGGGGAGAACCCGCGTCATCTTCTCGCCAGGAGGGCAGAGGCCCCGAGGGTATTTGAAAGTCTTCTAGCTCCTGCTCCAAGCAAGGCCTGACGTTCAAGTAGTTTATGGTATCACTAGTGATAATAACATTAACTTCTCCTCAGTGATTTCCTCCTTCCTGGTAATGAGTCCTCGGAGGAGTCCTGCCCGTGAGGTTTTGTGTCTCCGTTTTCCTTTTGACAAAAGGAGTCTCGGCAAAGTGGAGAAGCGGCATCACAGAGCTGGATCTGCACCGGGCGGCTGCTCCTCCAAGCTCGTCCTCTGAGCGGCCTCCCAGCGCAGACTTCCCCAGTCGGTCTGGATCGCCAGCCTGTGCGCTTGGCTTGAGAAACGGATCTGTAGAACGTTACTGTTACTGTTTCTTCCAGTGCTACATCTAAAGTTCTGAATGGCTTGTCCTGAGCAGACTGAGGTTTCGATGTAGCTTTATTATAACCCATGGCCACCTCGGGGCGTCTTTAAGGTGCTCCGTCCTCGCCTGCTTACTCGCTTGCTGTTCTTGAAGCCGCACTCAGTGCTCTTGCCCAGCCTGCAGAGCCCCGAAGGAAGCCCACAAAGGACTGAGACTCAACACCCCACCCGGGTCCTTGGCTGCCTCGGAGCATCCTGTGGGATGAGATCCGGACCTGGGGCGAGAGCGGGACGTGCAGCTCATGTCCAAAGCAGGCGGCGCGGTGTGAGCATCCGGCTGCACGTTCGTTCCCTAAGCGTGCAGCGCGGCCCGGCGAGTACCCAGGCTGTGCTCTCCTGGCGAGGGGTCCTGCCCGAGTCCTTTGAGGCGCACCAGAAAGCTGTGTGACCCTAGTCCAGAAGTTCTCCCGCCCCAGATTAGTTCCTGGTGGCGGTGGTTGTTGTCGGGAACTTGGTTAGAATCTAAGCTACATGAGGGCAAAGGACAAATCTCCCCCTCTTGCCTATACATCCCCGTGGTACATACTTAGTACTTAGTAACTGTTTCTTTTTTTAGAAATTTATTTATTTCTTTTATTGGTGCATTTTACATGTACATAATGATCACGTTCATCATAGGGAACTTTTACCTGTACGCGATGTATCTTGGTTCTTCCTTTTTTCCCATTCCCCTCATCTCCTCCTTATTTACAAAAGCTTTGTTTCCATTTTCCTCCTTTTTTTCCTTGTTCCTTCCTTCCATCTCCCCCCTTGTTCCCCTTCTCACTTGAACATTTCTTAAATGAGTAACTGCTGCTGCCATTTTGGCTCTACTTTTCGAAGGCTGTGTTCCTTTAATTTATAAAAGTTGCTTGCACACACGAGTGTGAGCATGCTCACACACAGGAACAACTGAAGTAACTTCTGTTTCTCAGGGTATCACTACTCTTGAGAAGGCGAGTCCTGCTTTGATCAGAATTGTCATGATTTTAGTCTGGAATCAGAAATTTTCAGTTAGGCTTTCTCAGTGGCTGTCTTGTGTCTCAAGTAATCAGACTCCTGGGATCACTGGATGTTTTGTTTTTATGATCTTCAGATTTGAACGCACGGCCTTCATACAAAGCTATATATCCAGCCTTGTTTTTATTATTTTTGTTTTGACACAGGGTCTTGCATAAGTAATACTGCCAGGCATGGTAGTGCATGCCTGTAATCCCTGCAAGTTTGAGGCCAGCCTGAACTACATAGTGAGTTCAAGACCAGCCTGCACTACATAGTGAGACCCTGTCTCAACAAACAAAACAAAATAAACAAAAGTAATAGTTCTTACTGGCCTATAGGGTGTTGAGAAAATGACTTGATCGATGACAGTGTTGGGTTAGTGCCTAACAGAGAGGAAGTAGTCTGTACTGTTCAGGTTAGTGGTCCCCCCCGGAACCCACCTGTGACCTCAGGGGCACTAGGGTCTAGCATTCCTCGGGCCGTTGACCTTCCACCCCACCCAGGTTAGGAGTCAGGGTTTTGGCAAGGGAATACATTAAATACAGGGTACGTAATTTATAGGATTATTTTATGATAATTACCAAAAAAATCACATGCAAAGGAGTGCAAGGGATTAACTGCACACTAGAGGCCCAAAGAATCCAGCCGAGGGCCTGGATCCCGGCAATGTCCCACACAAGTCCAGCCAAAGGCTTAGAGTCCAAGGCAATGTCCTCCGTTGCCAGGGGCCTAGAGCCCACGGCAGTGTCTCATGCTTGTCTGTATCGAGGATCTGCACCTGGAAGGCCCAAAGGCCAGTGGTGGGAGCCAGAAAACCTATGCTGGTGAGATGAAGGATTTGTGCCACCAGGCTGAGGGATCCACATTGGAGCCAGGAAGTGACTCTCATGGTGAAGATCAGAGCTCCCAGATGAGAACAGCAGCCATTCCCAGCGACAGTGAGGCCCCGAGCTTCTCCTCTGATGAGAACAGCCTAGTTCGCATCAGGAAAACCATCTGCAGCAAGCTTCTCCTAGAAAAATCAACAGGCCATAATCTTTCCCTCCACTTCTCTTTTTATGGCTATTGACAACAATCCCCGGGTAGATCCTCCACACTCAGACCATGCTGATTCAGCTCAGCTGGGTGTTACAAGTTGACC